GATATACAAATATTAAAATATACAAAGATAAAAATTAATGGCTCTGGATATTCCTCAAATGAAAAAAAACAAACAAGTGAATGAAATATTAACTTCCTGTGAGGATGCCTGCCATAGATGCAGGCAAAACGTCAGGAGAGAATGCTTCTAGAATATGGCCATTCAGCCTGAAAACCTACAAAAATCCAGTCATTCCAGCCATGAAAGCCTTCGACAATAAAGTGAAATATTAACTTCCTTGCCAGCTAAATCCTAAATAAATTCATCAGCCAGAGGTGTGTCTGTGCTTTATAATGAATGCAGTTTAGCACCGCTTTAACTAACTAACACAGCAGAATACTATGGGAGCCTGGGACTTGCAGCACTCTTTGGCAGAGAAAGCATAAAGACCTTGCAAAACTACAACTTCCATGATGTCTTGAGATACATTGGCAATTTAACCCTGGGTTTCTTTTCTCTTTCCAGTTTTCTTCTAGCCAGTGGAAACAAACAACTTCTGATCATGATAAACCGGGTGAGCGGCTTCATCAGAATGCAAGGATGCACGTTTGAATTGCCTGTATTATAATGCGAAGGTATTTGAGTCAGAGGAAATAACTTGGCTGAGTAATCTGTAATTAAGTATTATTATTTGCAAGAGAATGAAGAAATATTAATTCCAGTGAGTAGCAGCAAAAGAACAAAACACATTCCAAAAAGGGCAAAAACAACAGAGTCATTTGAAGCCTTCAGGACGAAGTACTTTCTGACTATGTTTCGATGGAGCGCAAATTAATAATAACAACAACAACAACAACAACAACAACAACAATCTATATAAATAAAAATGTAATGTTCATTTGTGGGATTAACATAACTCAAAAATCACTGGATGATTTGACACCAAATTTGGACACAATACACCTCTCAAGCCAATGAGTGACCATCACTCATAAAAACACTGAAAAACACAGCGGAAGACACTTAAAAAGCCAAAAATTTTAATAATGCATTACAACACATGCGCAAAACCACATATATATATGCAACATATACACACACAAAACACATATACACAGACTGGGCCACAGCAATGTGTGGCAAGGGATGGCTAATAATGATGATGATGATGATGATGATGATGATGATAATAATAATAATAATAATAATAATGTATTCCCTGCCTTTGCTCAATGTGGGCTGCAATTTAGTGAAGATAAATCACGTCATTAAAACACATATATTATAATGCATACAACAAAGAGGGAAACATCAATACTCCTGTTTAATTCTACTTTGATGCTTGTATGTTTTTGATTTCAAGCTGTACACTTATTTTGGTTTTAAACATCTGCTTTGAGTCTCTTTGAAGAGAGAAAAAGCAAGATATAAATAATAATAATAATAATAATAATAATAATTTTAAAATGTTCACTTCTAATTTGTATGTGTGTATGTATATATGGTGTATTTTGTGGGTTTTTAAGTCTGTTCCGCTGGGGTTTTGTGTGTGTGTGTATGTGTATATATGTGTGTGTTTATGGGTGATGGACACTCGTTGGACTGTTAGGTGTATTATGCCCAAATGTCGTGTCAATTTGTTCAGTGGTTTTTTTGAGTTATGTTAATCCCACAAACTAACATTACATTTTTATTTATATAGATACTAGCTGTTCTGGAACAGCTGTTCCAGGAGCTCCAATTTTGTTTGCTTTGAATTAAATGTTGGTTTGCAATCCCAGGCTTGGGATTTTGCAGCAGGGTGGCTTCCTGTTATAATTCGGCTCCTTAGCAAATCAGGGAGAGGGAGGCAGGACGGACATTCTACTGTCCTGTGCCGAGGGATCAGCCAGCCAAGGAAACCAGTTCTTTTGTTCTTGTGATGGATCAGTGATTTAGGGATAACCATTTGATTCAGGTTTTCCCTTCCAGGATCAGATAAGGTGTGTTGGCTTTGATGGGCTTTGGATGAAACAAACAGAGCCGGGCAAGAAGACCCCTGGGGCCAGTCTCGCCCCTTTGTGATTAAATTAAAATGTCCAAAGAAACTTCCCTGCCTGCCAGACAAAACTCAGAAAGCAAACAAAAGGATGTTTCAACTTGTTATTGTCCATCGAAAAGGTTGGTGATTTGGCTGATTTCGAGGAAGCTTGGCTCTCCCTCAGGCATCTTAACAGTCCCTGGTCACGTTTTTCTAGGGCAAAAGTCAGGGGGGGGAGGCAAAGGGGCAAGCAAAATTTCATACATGTTCAAACAATATATAATTCATACAGGAAAGATCCCGTCCCCATCCCAGATATTTAATAATAAAAATCATTTCTTTATTTGAAAACTCGGAGTCTAAAGTTTTAAAAGGTCTTTGAGGAAAGTTCATGAGGGAGATAGTATGTACTGAAGTCCAAGACATGCAGGCAGAGAGTCCATGATCATTGGGAAGGCTGGCAGATGAAACCCCAGCTGTGCTGCAACTGATTCACACTTTGGTCCTTGGGAAACTACAACTCTCACGAAGGGCAGAAGTCCCAAGATCCAGCCGTTTCCCAAAAGCCTCGTGGGGTCCTTGTTGTTGTCAGTGCCTTGGCAATGTGACCAAGACTTAACCCCTATTGCGCAGTCTGGTACCTTTGTCCTTTGCAGAACTATAAGTCACCATCCCTTGTTGGGGGGGGGGCATGCTCGACGTCATGTAGATCAGGCATGGGATGAGAGAATATATATGTTAGACCACACCTGGAATATTGTGTCCAATTCTGGGCACCACAATTCAAGAGAGATATTGACAAGCTGGAATGTGTCCAGAGGAGGGCGACTAAAATGATCAAGGGTCTGGAGAACAAGCCCTATGAGGAGCGGCTTAGGGAACTGGGCATGTTTAGCCTGAAGAAGAGAAGGCTGAGAGGAGATATGATAGCCATGTATAAATATGTGAGAGGAAGCTACAGGGAGGAGGGAGCAAGCTTGTTTTCTGCTTCCTTGGAGACTAGGACGGAACAATGGCTTCAAACTACAAGAGAGGAGATTCCATCTGAACATGAGGAAGAACTTCCTGACTGTGAGAGCCGTTCAGCAGTGGAACTCTCTGCCCCGGAGTGTGGTGGAGGCTCCTTCTTTGGAAGCTTTTAAACAGAGGCTGGATGGCCATCTGTTAGGGGTGATTTGAATGCAATATTCCTGCTTCTTGGCAGGGGGTTGGACTGAATGGCCCATGAGGTCTCTTCCAACTCCTTGATTCTATGATTCTTTAGATGCCTTGGAATAAAATAGGTGTGTGTGTGTTTTGTTTTTGTTTTGTTTTTTGTAGGGCCTTTTAAGTCCCTTCTGTTGTGTTTTTCAGTGTTTTAATAAGTGATGGTCACTCGTTGGCCTGATCGGTGTATTGTGTCCAATTTGGTGTCAATTCGTCCAGTGGTTTTTAAGTTATGTTAATCCCACAAACGAACATTACATTTTTATTTATATAAGATACTAGTGGTCCCCTGCCACGTGTTGCTGTGGCCCAGTCTGGTGATTTGGAAAATAAAGGGAATGAGAAAGTGTTGGTTTCTAATATATGTAATGTCTTTATGCTTGTGGGTAAACAGTCTTTCTTGCTGTTTATTTGTCAGTGTTGATGTGGAGAGTGTCTGGTTTGCCTACTCTGGAACATGCAAGATATCATTGTCCTTCTTTAAGGGTCCCTTTCAAGTCTATGATATTATATCTCTGTGTGTGTGAACCATATCTATCTATCTATCTATCTATCTATCTATCTATCTATCTATGGCTGAATGGCTATTTATCAGGAGGGCTTTGATTACGTTTTCTTGCCCTGATGGAGTTGGATTGGATGGCCTTAAGTTTTTTCTGTTGGTCATGGGGGTTCAGTGTGGGAAATTTGCCCCGATTCTGTCATTCATGGGGTTTAGAACGCTCTTTGATTGTAGGTGAACTGTGAATCCCAGTGACTACAACAATGTCAAGGTCTGTTTCCCTCAAACTCCATTTGTGTTCATATTTGGGTGTATTGAGTGCTTGTGCCAAGTTTGGTCCATCATTGTTTGAGTCCAGAGTGCTCTCTGGATAAAGGTGAACTACAACTCCCAAACTCAAGGTCAATGCCCACCAAACCCAAACCCTTCCAGTATTTTCTGTTGGTCATGGGAGTCCTGTGTGCCAAGTTTAGTTCAATTCCATCGTTGATGGAGTTTAGAATGCTCTTTGATTGTAGGTGAACTATAAATCCCAGCAAGTGGCGCAGTGGGTTAAAGCACTGAGCTGCTGAGCTTGTTGATCGAAAGGTCGCAGGTTCGATTCCGGGGAGCGGCGTGAGCTTCTGCTGTCAGCCCTAGCTTCTGCCAACCTAGCAGTTCGAAAACATGGAAATGTGAGTAGATCAATAGGTACCGCTCCAGCGGGAAGGTAACGGCGCTCCATGCAGTCATGCCGGCCACATGACCTTGGAGGTGTCTACGGACAACGCCGGCTCTTCGGCTTAGAATTGGAGATGAGCACCACACCCCAGAGTCAGACATGACTGGACTTAATGTCAGGGGACTACCTTTACCTTTACTTACAACTCCCAAATGACGAAATCATAATTTTTTGAGAGATGGTCACTCCTTGTGTTGTGAGACGCTTTGTTTCCAAATTTGGTGTGATTTCGTTCATTGGTTCTTTTGTTTGTAAGGTACTCATTATGCACAGAGCATTTATATATAGATAGATTATTAGTATTATCATTATTATTATTATTATTGTTATAGTTATACATTTACAAGTATTACTATCAGCGAATAAGAACAATAACCCTGGCAAACTCAATTCAGGGCCTACAAGCAGCTCAGAAGCCTAACTCCTAGCTGACGTTACCACGGCAACGAGGACGTTGCATGCGCAGTGACGCAACCGCGCCGGCTTTGCGGCAGCTCGCACACCACCCTCCCCATTCCGCGCAGGCGCCTGAGCGACCTCGGGGAGGCGCCTTGTCCCTTTTCCCTCCTCCCCCTCCCTTTGGCGCAGGCGCAGTGACGGGCCTCGGAGTAGGCGTGGCCTCCGGAGTGGGCGGGGTCTCAGCTGGGTCAGCTGACAGGGCTTGTTGTGGTGGAGGAGAAGGAGGAGGAAGAAAGGAGGAAGGATGCCTGCGGAGAAGAGCTTCAAGCAGCGGCGTAGCTTCGGTGGGGAAAGGGAAATGCTTGGTTTGGGAATGCCTGGATTGGGAGGAAGAGGGGAGGGGGCCTAGGCTTCTGTTTGAGGCCTTGGCCTTGAAGGGAAGAGTGAGGCCTAGCGTGGGTTAAGGTTTTGTTTCTTTCTAAGGGTCATTGTGTTGGGGAGGGTCAAAGGGGGAAGAGAGTGTACTGTCTCTTTAAGAGCGTCCTGTCCTTTTTCTTGGGGAGGGGGTCAAGGAAGGGCTTTTGGGGCTGAAAAGGGGGAAGTTGAAAAGAGAGTACTGTCTCTTTAAGGTGTGTTTTGGGGCTTATTTCCATTTCAGAACAGCTTTATATTGGGAAGGTTTTATTATAAGGTGTATTGGGGCTTTATTCTGGGGAGGGTCAAAAGGGGAAAGTGGTGAAGAGAGTGTACTGTCTCTTTAAGAGCGTCCTGTCCTTTTTCTATTTATGCTTATTTCCATTTCAAAACAGCTTTATATTGGGAAGGTTTTATTATAAGGTGTATTGGGGCTTTATTCTGGGGATGGTCAAAAGGGGAAAGTGGTGAAGGGAGTGTACTGTCTCTTTAAGGTGTGTTTTGGGGATTATTTCCATTTCAAGGCAGCTTTATATTGGGAAGGTTTTATTATAAGGTGTATTGGGGCTTTATTCTGGGGGTGGTCAAAAGGGGAAAGTGGTGAAGAGTGTACTGTCTTTTTAAGAGCGTCCTGCCCTTTTTCCTTTTCAAAGCACCTTTATATTGGGGTTTCCTAATATATAGGGGTGTGTTGTGGCTTTATATTGGGGAGGGGGGTCAAGGAAAGGCTTTTGGGGCTGAAAAGGGGGAAGTTGAAAAGAGTGCACTGTCTCTTTAAAGTGTGTTTTGGGGCTTATTTCCATTTCAAGGCAGCTTTATATTGGGAAGGTTTTATTATAAGGTGTATTGGGGCTTTATTCTGGGGGTGGTCAAAAGGGGAAAGTGGTAAATAGAGTGTACTGTATTGTCGAAGGCTCTGGGTTGTTGTAGGTTTTTTCGGGCTATATGGCCATGTTCTAGAGGCATTCTCTCCTGACGTTTCAGCTGCATCTATAGCAAGCATCCTCAGAGGTAGTGAGGTCTGTTAGAGCTAGGAAAAAGGGTTTAATATATCTGTGGAATGACCAGGGTGGGACAAAGAACTCTTGTCTGCTGGAGCTAGGTGTGACTGTTTCAACTGACCACCTTGATTAGCATTTCAAGGTGAACCAACCTGGACACAGCATATTATTTGAGAACACAGAAATGCTGGACCACTCTCACAACCACCATGTCAGACTACACAGAGAAACCATTGAATTCCACAAGCATGTGGACAATTTCATCAGAAAGGAGGAAACCATGAAAATGAACAAAATCTGGCTACCAGTATTAAAAAACTCTAAAATTACAACAGCAAAACAACAGACAGGAAACAATCTGGGACATCTAATCACCTCTCAACAAAAGATTGCCCCACACTCTGCTAGACCATCAAATGCTAATCAAGGTGGTCAGTTGAAACATTCACACCTAGCTCCAGCAGACAAAAATCCTTTGTCCTATCTTGGTCATTCCACAGATATATTAAAACTTTTTTCCTAGTTCTAATAGACCTCACTACCTCTGAGGATGCTTGCCATAGATGCAGGCGAAACGTCAGGAGAGAATGCCTCTAGAACATGGCCATATAGCCCGGAAAAACCTACAACAACCCAGAGTGTACTGTCTCTTTAAGTGCGTCCTTCCCTTTTTTCTTTTCAAAGCAGCTTTATATTGGGGTTTCCTTATAGATAGGGGTGTATTGTGGCTTTATATTGGGGAGTGGGGTCAAGGAAGGGCTTTTGGGGCTGAAAAGGGGGAAGTTGAAAAGAGTGTACTGTCTCTTTAAGGTGTACTTTGGGTAGTTTTTCTTTTCAAAGCAGCTTTATATTGAGAAGGTTTTATTACAAAGGGTATTTGGGGCTTTATACTGGGGAGGGTCAAAAGGGGAAGGTGGCAAAGAGAGTACTGTCTCTTTAAGAGCATACTGCCCTTTCCCCTTTATATTGGGAAGGTTTTCTTATATATAGGGGTGTATTGGGGCTTTATATTTGGGAGGTTTTATTATTTCAGGCTTGGGCTGAAAAAAGGGGAATCATAGAGTTGGAAGAGACCTCGTGGGTCATCCAGTCCAACCCCCTGCCGAGAAGCAGGAAAATTGCATGCAAAGCACCCCCAACAGATGGCCATCCAGCCTCTGTTTAAAAGCTTCCAAAGAAGGAGCCTCCACCACACTCCGGGGCAGAGAGTTCCACTGCTGAACGGCTCTCACAGTCAGGAAGTTCTTCCTCAAGTTCAGATGGAATCTCCTTTCTTGTAGTTTGAAGCCATTGTTCCGCGTCCTAGTCTCCAGGGAAGCAGAAAACAAGCTTGCTCCCTCCTCCCTGTGGCTTCCTCTCACATATTTATACATGGCTATCATATCTCCTCTCAGCCTTCTCTTCTTCAGGCTAAACATGCCCAGCTCCTTAAGCCGCTCTTCATAGGGCTTGTTCTCCAGACCCTTGATCGTTTTAGTCCCCTCCTCTGGACACATTCCAGCTTAGAGTCAACATCTCTCTTCAATTGTGGTGAAGGTGAAAAGAGTGTACTGTCTCTTTAAGGTGTGCTTTTGGGTTTCATTTTCTTTTCAAACCGGCTTTATATTGCAAAGGTTTTATTATAAGGTATAATGGGACTTTATATTTGTCTCTACTTGCATTAATAGGGAGTCTGAAAGAAGGCTCAGGAAGGTAACAGTGTTGTTGTTGCTCGGGAAGGCAATAGGGTTGTTGTTGTTTTGGGAAAATTAGGGAGACAGCTGCATCTACCCCAGGTTTGGGCCAACTTGGGCCTCGCTCCAGGTGTTTTGGACTTCAACTCCCACAATTCCTAAAAGCCTACAGCCTCAGGCCCTTTCCTTTCCCCCCTCAGCCGCTTAAGCGGCTGAGGGGGAAAGGAAGGGGCCTGAGGCTGTAGGCTTTTAGGAATTGTGGGAGTCCAAAACATCTGGAGGAAGGCCCAAGTTGAACTTCTATGGCTCCATGCTATGAAATGCTGGGAGTTCTTGTTTTACAAGATCCTGAGCCGTTTCTCTGTGCGCTATAAATCCAAGGATTCCATAGCATAATGCCATGATTTTAAAGATGTCCTTTGGGTTGTTTTAAAAATAGGTATATTTGTGTTGGCAAACCTCCTGTGTGTTTTCCTCACCTAAGGGCTCTTCTGTACAGCTATATGACCCAGGGCTCTTCCACACAGCTCTATATATAATGTAATGCAATATAATAATAATAATAATAATAATAATAAGGTATTACTATCCATCCCCTGCCACGCGTTGCTGTGGCCCAGTCTGTGTATATATTCATTGGTGTATATATATATATTTGTGTATATGTGTGTCTGTGTATATATATATGTGATTTTGCCCATTTGTTGTGATGTATTATTTATTTTTTTGCTTTTTGAGTCTCTTCTGCTGTGTTTTCCAGTGTTTTTATGAGTGATGGTCACTCGTTGGCCTGATAGGTGTTTTGTGTCCAAATTTGGTGGCAATTCACCCAGTGGTTTTTGAGTTCTGTTAATCCCACAAACGAACATTACATTTTTATTTATATAGATAATTATATATTTATATGACATGTAATATTACTAATAATATTAGGATATAGTGGTATGGTGCAATATAGCAGGGTTTAATGCTGATATTGTACTATGTTAATCATACAATATATTGTATGTAATATATGCCTTGTAAGCCACTCTGAGTCCCCTTTGGGGTGAGAAGGGCAGCGTATGTCGTAAATAAATAAATATGCCAGACTATCAAGGCAGAAAATCCCACATTATCTGAGTTCAAAGCAGGTATTGTGGGATTTTCTACTTTGATATCCTGGGATATAGGGCTGTGTGGAAGGACCCTTAGAATATCAAGGCTTTGAACTGGGTTATCTGAGTCCACACTGCCATAAAATCCAGTTCAATGTGGATTTTATACAGCTGTGTGGAAGGGGCCTAAGAAAGCCCTCACCTAAGATTAGAATAAGAAGAATTAGTAACAGTGATCATTATCAGTAATGATTATATGTGAGAGAGGGAATCAGTACTGCTGATAATAATAATAATCACTAAGAAGGATGAGAGGAATCAATAATGATAGTGACTATAAGAATGATGAGAGAGGAATTTGTAATAATAGCAATAGGTAAAGGGGAAGAGAGAAGAATCAGTAATGATGATAATCACTAAGAAGGAAGAGAGAGGAATCAGTAATGATGAGTAAGGATGATGAGAGAGGAGTCAGTAATAATAGCAATTGGTAAAGGGGATGAGAGAGGAAACAGTAATGACAATGTTGTTGAAGGCTTTCATGGCTGGAATCATTGGGTTGCTGTGAGTTTTCCAGGCTGTCTGGCCATGTTCCAGAAGCATTCCCTCATGATGTTTCACCCACATCTATGGCAGACATTCTCAGGTTGTGAAGTCTGTTGTAAAATAATCAAGTAAGAACTCATGTCTGTTTGAGGCAAGTGTGAATGTTGCAGTTGGCCAGCTTGATTAGCATTGAGTAGCCTCCAACAACCACCATGTCAGACTACACAGAGAAGCCATTGAAATCCACAAGAATGTGGACAATTTCAACAGAAAGGAGGAAACCATGAAAATGAACAAAATCTGGCTACCAGTATTTAAAAAACCTCTAAAATCAGGACAGTAAATAAAGAGCAACACTCAGAAAACAGAGGAATTCCAGACAGGAAACAATCAGGGCCAGCTAACACCTCTCAAAAGAGAATCCCCCCAGGCATGAAGCAGTCAGGCTTTGAAGTTGCAAGGCTACTTAATGCTAATCAAGCTTACTAATTGCAACATTCACAGACAAGTGTTCTTTCTCTCATCCTGGACATCATTCCATCTATATAAATAAAAATGTAATGTTCTGAGTTGGCATTCTCTCCTGACGTTTCACCTGCATCTAAGGCAAGCA